GCGGACTCAGCACGCGGGCTCCCCCTGCCGGGGCCCCTCGGGACGGCGCTGCTCTCTGCGGCCCACCGCCGGGCGCTGGCGGATCTGTACTCGCTGTTCCTTCTGCCCCATCTCTCTTAAATAGCTTTAAAGACAGTATTCTTAGCCGAGGCGAGGCCGTAGAAAACATCTTTCCCACCCACCGCCTCCCACACAGGAATCCTAACCACTTAGCTTCATCACGAGCGCCTTTTGGAAGGCTCAGGAGCTGGGTCTGAACAACACACCTGCCAGTGACTCTTTTTCTGGCCCTGGGGATTGAACCCAGGGCCTTCGCATTGATCTGCATCTCAGTCCCTTTTTATATTTTATTTTTGAGACAGGGTCTTGCTGAGGGGCTGTAATGCCTAAGCTGGGGTCAAATGAGATCTTCCTGCCTCAGCTTCCCAGCTGTTCCTGGCTCTTCATCTCACACTGGTGTGGAGAGTTCCAGGAGCTTCCGGAGGGTGGCCCTGTTCTCTGGCTGCATCCTCCTTCTTTCCACGAAAACCCTCTCCTTCTTCCTCTCTTAATTTCTGCAGCCTAGGTCTCTTCAGAGCAGAAGAAAACTCCTCTGGAGAAACTTAATCTGCAGTGGCTCCCATTCGCTCTGGGTGCTCTGGGTGCTCTGGGCTCACCCTGCTTCTGGCAGCGACTTCTGAGCTGTGAGCACTGGGCCTCACAGACCTCTGGGAAGTAGGACTGAGTCTCAGGTTGTCCAGAAGCTCTGCTCCCTTCAACAGGCGGTTGCTGAGGTCCTCCCTGACCCCGGCACCAAATCCAGACGTCAGGAGACAGGGCTGGTCCTGAGACCGGCAGGCTGGCTGGAAAGGCCTCGCGCTGTGAGGTTGGTGGCCATCTGGACCCGGGGCCGGGACCCACATCAGTTGAGGCTGGTCAGGGCTGCTCACAGAGGCCGGTTGGTGCCTTCTGACTGTTACTGGCAGGCCCTCCGTGAGGCCCTGGCTGGAGGCTCCGCCCTGGCACAGCCCAGAGGGCGGGACGGCTGGGGAGCGGAGTGGCGCCCGGGTGGGATCAGTGCCCTGGCCCCCCTGCCCGAGCCCGGCATCCCAGTGACCTGCCCTCCCCGTGGCCTCCGTGTGGCCTCGCAGTCTGAAGTGCCCCACTGCTGTCTGGGGCCAGGGCCTCACCGGAAAGCAGCTCTGCTTCCCTCGCCTCCCTAGTGCCCCGCCAGGGTTCCTGGTGGTCTCCTGGCCGCTGGGGGCTGCAGCTGGGTGGGACCTGCGGAGGGGATGGCTCTCCCTGAAGGGCAGGCCGTGTGCTTTGGGTGAGCTCCTGAGGACAGCACTGTCCCCGCTTTTGCGGCCCGCAGGTCCTGGTGGCAGCGCCAGGCACTAACGAGGTGATGGTGATGGCTGGGCGGGAGGCTGGTGGCCCACAGGCTCCTCCACACTTCCCTCCCCTCTCCTGCCAGGCTCCACTGGTCCTGGGCCCCCGAGTCCGGAGAGCTCAGCAGCGTCATGTCCGCTAGGCCTCTGTGGCCATCACGTAGTTCAGTCTGTACCCCCTCATGAGGCCTGGCTGCCTGGACACTCACTCCTGCCCCCCTGTAACATGGCGCCCCACCAGAGCCAAGAGGAGCCTGCTCTGAGGGGCTTATTCCAGGAACTGGGTTGCTCTCCTGTTACAGCATCCCAGGGTCTTGTGAGTGTCACCTTAGAACCCAAAGGCGTCCAGTGTGTCTGGTCCTGAGTGAGTACGAGGCAGTGTATTTGTCCAGTAGCCGCCCCAGTCAGCCCAGGACAAACCAAGGCTGGCAGGGGCCGCGCTGCATTCCTACAGCCCTGCCGTGGAGGGGCCTCCGCACCTCTGTGATGCTCCCGTTGGGGGCGAGAGTCACCACTTAGGCCAGGGGCGGCGTCCCTGAGTTCCAGAGCTGGCCTGGCTCCGTGCTGTCCTAAGGATCAGGCTGGACTGCCTCCCACTCTGCACCAGGCCCTCGGCCTCCCGTTCCCCAAGTCGGTGTCCCGGTAGGGAGGTTGGCAGGATGGGCTTCAGTAAGATTCTGCTCCTCCTCCCAGCCAGGCTCCCAGAAATCGGCACCTTTTGGATGACCATGGGGGGAGACCTCCAGGGGGAGGTCTGTGTCTGGATCAAATTTCCTGAACCCTGGTGGACTGGAGGACACGAGAAAGCAGCGGAGCTCTGGCTCCAAGAGCCACTCCGTGACTCTGAGTTTACAGCCTCTTAGAGGAAAGACAGCTGGACTGATTCGCATGCCCAAAGTCTGTGGGATTGCAGCTCCTGGAGGGCCAGTGGCTTTGCCGTCTCCCTGGCAAATCTCTTAGAGGCCCATGACCCGTGGTAGCTCACTAAAGTCTCTGAGGTTGTGTAACGCGGCATTCCCAGCCTTAGCAGTGGTGAAGCTTTCCTCTTTTAGCACCTGTCAGCAGCCAGGGGAGCCAGGGTTCCTCAGCGCGCACACCTCTGGGAACGCAGGCTGGTCATCTGGCGTGCTCTGGAGCACACTGTTTGCATGTGTGTAGGGCACCACCAGCGGCCTGCTCCGGCAGTCACGGTCCTGCCATGCTCGTAGTGCCCTGGGGACATCCTGTGCAGCTCATCCGGTGGCCAGAACCAGGCCCGGCCGCGTAGGCCCTGAGACAGCACAGAGGTGCCCGCCGGTCCCCATCCCAGGCCTCGGTTATTTCTGCGCACAGAACGATCAAGGAGGAGTGCTTTTTGTTGCGGCCTGCAGTTTATTTTAGGTGCAAACCCACATTTAAGAGTAAGCACGTCACTCCTGCTGCAGTAAAAGCTGGAACTCGTGTGCTGCTTAAGGGTTGCCTCGTGCAGCTCACGGAGGAGGGGACGAGCATCCCCGGAGCCCATTAGTGGCTGAGGGCCACACACAGGAGTCAGGGAGGCAGCACTGTGCCCCCTGCTTAGCTGTGCCGGCCTCAATCAGCTCATCTGCAGAGCAGGAGTGATGGTCCCTGCCCCGCCTCTAACTGTCCCTTTGAGATGGGGACCGTCCAAGAGCGTGAGAGGGTTTGCAGCCTCTGCAGAGCCTTGCAGCGGGCCCGTGTGGCAGGCTTGTGACCGAACATCCGGGGAGCAGGCCAGGAGGCACGGACCGCTGCCCCTCAGCAGGACCTAGGTCCTACGCCTCTCGCCATATGAGTGTTCGTCTCCTGGAGATGCCCGGGTGTCGGAAGACAGTTTCATACATCACAGCCTGAAAGCAGCCATCTGCTCCTCCAGCAGGAATCGGGCTCTGTCATGACCTGGAGGGATCCACAGGCCTCTCGTGGGGTGGACTGGTCTCCACTGGCACCTTGCTTAGCCTGGCCGTGGACAGTGGTTGCTCCTGCTGTGTGTCGCAGTCATGCCTTCCCGAGGCCGGGAAGGGGGCAGCTCCGTGTGGAGAGGCCAGAGGATGCAGCCGAGCTCCAGCCCTGTGCTCCCAGCCTCCCTTCA